GCGGGACGGCGCTCCGGTCGGAGGCTGCTGCCCACGCGGCGGTGGGAATGGCTGGTGTCCTTTCCCTTCCTGAGCAGCGAGTTCTTCCTCGTGGGCATTTTGCAAAACAAAAGCCACACGAGACCATCACCCATTGCTAGTGTCTTGGGCGGCCATACAGGATTTTTTTTTTTAATCCTCACTGGGGGATATTCTTATTGATTTTAGAGGGAGGGAGAGAGAGAGAGAGAAATTGAGAAAAAAAAACTCGATGTGAGAGAACACCGATTGGTTGCCTCCCCAAGGCACCTCCCACCGGGGATGGACCCTGCAACCTCTAGGTGCGTGACCTGACCCTGAACCCAACCCTCTCTACCTTTTGGTATGCGGGAAGATGTACCACCCAACTGAGCCACACCGGCCAGGGCAGGATTTTTATGTAAAGATTTAAAATGGCTTTGGAGTAAATTAAAAAAACAACAAACTTGAGACCGAGCTCCAACTTATGGATGAGTTGGGCATGCAACTCATGATTGAGGGCGAGCAAGTTATTACTGGGAACCCATTATCTTCTAGCATCCGTTGGAAGACGGCTGTGAGGATGAAATGAGAGGCTTGTGTTCTGCAGTGCTTGGCCTGCATAGCTATCCTGTTCCCTATATAGTTGTTAAAAAGATGGCCAAAAGCCACTTTGGGGTTTTAAGCAAAGGAGTGTTTCAAATTAGATGTTTTAAAAAATATCACTGGTGGCTGCATGGAGAATGCACTGTTAAGGGGTCAAAAGTAGAACTAGGCACAAGTTAGCACACTAGATATGGATCCATCAGAGATGCTAAAGGTCAACTGAATGGTAACTAGACCTACTGCGGTGATTATTTTGCAGTGCATACAAATACCAAATCATTATGTTGTATGCCTAAAGCTAAATTATTTTTTACAAAGGTAAATTGACAGCACTTGTCAACCAGATAGAGAAGGAAAGGATGGCTCCCACGTTGTTGGCTTGTGTATCTGGATGGACAGAGCTTTGGTTCTCATTCACTAAGAGGGAGGTGCAAATATAAGGGGGGGGGGGTTGTTTTTGGAAATAGTGTTTTGATCGATTCCTTTTTAAAAACAAAAAGAGGTAGATTAACATTTTTAAAAATACATGCAGTAAAATTACTAGAAAGTAAAGTTCAAAGGAATACAGATGAAATGGATGGATGACATGAGACAGCAGTAAGGTATTCATTGTTACTATATAGTTTATTCAAACCAAACTATGATAATACGGAGAAGAGACTGAGGTGGCAGCTGCCCAGAATCTTGTGGATTACAGATGCAAACTGGCTGGAGAGGAGTCCTTGGACCCACACTTCAGTAACAGACAAGTCAGTTGCATAAATATAGAGAACATAAGACACAGACATTTCACAGCTTTTTGCTTTGCGTTTCCATTTTAAACATATGTATGTTACAACTTTACATTTTAACTTACTCCTCCACATATTCTGTAACAATGGCTAAGGATGCAATGGTCTCAACACGACATAAGCAGACTTTGGTCTGCAATATGGAACGTTTCAGTGAGATACCAAACAAACCCTTAACACAGAACACACAAAAAGACTCTAAAAAGATCTGATTAATACAATGTTTTTTTTATGTTATATAAGCAGGAAAAGGGGGAAGTGGAAACACAAGACATTAGGGGTGCCTTAAATGTATAGTATCTTGAGGTCTTCAAAGTTTCATTCCCTTCCTTCAAGGGGAAATTTTTTTTTAACTAATGGAAAAAAGAAAGCATCAGAAAGCCCTACAATGAGGAAAAACACTATCTTGACAGTGCTTAGATGCTTTTATGTAATAATTACAGCAGGTAGCAGAGCAAATGTCACAAATATTGGCTTTGTTTTTATTTCTATGCTTAAAAAAAATATTAAGCTTCTTTGTATGGACTGAACAGTGTTAGCCTGTGGGTGTTGGTCTTCCGTGCCTGTACACCAGTGGGTTTACAGCCCAGGCCCATCCTAGAGCAAGCTCCAGTGCCAGCTGTCTGCACACTATTTCCCAAGGGAGGAGTTGTCTTCACTTCACTGCAACAGGATTCCTGGCTCAGTTACATGCTCATGTGTTCCGGAAGAACATATGAAATATCATCCCACGGGTGACGATATAGCCCCTGCTTCAGCCTCTTCTGATCAAGGTAGTGTCCTAAAATGGAGCAAATGCATTTTTTTTTTTTTGAGTTGGTGAATTTGTTAAAAGTTTGGTGAAGGAGAAAGGATAAGGAAGGGAAATGCATCTAATACAAAAAGGCAGATACAAAGAAATGGGGAAGTAAATCGAGACCCATTCCAAGCCAGATGTCAGGCTTGGTTTGCAATCAAAGTAACTTCCAAGACAAGGGAACAAAGGTAAAGATAAGGGGGAAATGAAGGTAAGAAAGGACAGATTAGAAACAGTGATTAAGTCAATGTGACATCTCTTTTTAGAGACTCACCACATGGGTTAAGCAGTGTAGCTGGACCACAGGGTAAAAAAAACAATCCCACCTAAAACCCCCTTAAAACAATAACTCACTCACCAATGAAGCCCATGCTCCTTCCCAGAACAAAGATGCCATTGAGGGCTCCAATGTCAATATATTCATCAGCTTCTTCCCTGCAACACAATCAACATGTAGTATTTTTGTTTTGTCTTTAATTCTCACGTGAGGATATGTTTCCGCCCATTGTAGAGAGAGAGGAAGGGAGAGAGGGAAACAGAAACACTGATGTGAGACAGAAGCATCAACTGGTTGCTTACTGTATTCACTGCGACCAGGGATCGAACCCGCAACCTTTCAGTGTACAGGACAACACTCTAACCCACTGGGCAACATCGGCCAGGGCTCAACATGTAGTTTTAAAATGGCTCACATGACAGCCCTCCTCCCAGACAGTACAACCTCTGCTCAGGAGTGAGAAGCCAGTTCTCTTTGATTTCAAAGTGGAAAAGAGGGATGCTCTGGGTGGTGGGAGTAGAGGCAATTTTTGTTCTTTTTTATACCACTACTACATATTTTCTAAGTTCTCTATAATGAACGTGTGTTATTTTCAGAGTTGGGAGGGAACAACAAAAATCAATAAACACTATGAAGAAGGAAAGGGCTGCGAAGCTCACCGAGTGAAGGACCCACAGTTTCTAAGCATGTCTACAAATGCAACTCCGATGAAGCCATCTACATTCAGGATAAGATTTGGTTTCTGGGAAGGCAAAATATTCAAAGCATTTGTAATTATTTCTCATATTTCCCTTGTAATTTTCCACTATTACTACTACTACACTACGTATTCTGATCACCATTTAAAAAAACTCCTCCCAAAGCATCCCAGTTGGTTAGAAGAGACTGTCTTACCGAGTTCAATCCCCATTGTCTAGCAAAGGATCTGACACGTAGTTGACACTTAGTGTCTGTTGAACTTACTAGTAGTTATGCAACAGAAATAAAATTTTCCAGAAAACCAGGTTTAATTTTAGCTACACAATCAAAAGATAACTTGGCTGTCTCATTTCTGCCAAGAAATTCTGCCAAGTAATTCAAGAATTAGGAGCATTTGCTTTTTTACCTTCGAGGTGGTAATCTTTTCCACTTCCAGCGCATAGTCGAGCAGGGGGGTGGCAGGGAAGTGCTGTTTGACGTAATCTTTCAGGATCTGCACTCGCATGTCTGGGTTGTTTATCTAGAAAGTGATTTAAAGTTACAGAGGAACTCACTCTAACACTTCTACTAAGGAGTATGTTTGTGCTCATGTCACAAGTAGGCACACTACATTTCATATCCAGGTATGCAGGAGGCAACCGATCAATGATTCTCTCTCATCATTGTTTTGATCCCTCTCACCCTCTTGCTTCCTCTCTGAAATCAATAAAAAATATATTTTAAAAATAAATAAATAAATAAATAAATAAATAAAATATTTATTCCCTGGCCTCTACCCATCAGGCTTGCCCTGATATTCTCGCTTTTCCTGTCCCAGTGAGTCAGACTTAACCATGTGACTTTCATTGGCCAAGGAAATTCTACTGAAAGTGAGCTGTACCAAGCAGACGCTTTAAGAACTTCTGCCATGACTTTTCCCAGATAGGGGCTGCTTCTTCAGTGTAGATGACAGAGAACAGAGCAGCAGGCAACCCGCAGTGAGGGTGGGGTG